AATCGAAAAGTGCTTAATAAATTATTAATAGAAATTAGCAAAATTTAAAAAATACTATAGTATTCTCTTAGTTTTTAGGACTTCTTAAGTAATAACGGCGGAAATTTTATTAAAGTCTATTTTAAATCCTTTTAACATAATAATTAAGCTTAAGTATTTTATTTTTATAATATAGAATTCGTACTTATTAATATTAATTTAAAGTCCCGCTTAGATTATCCACTATAGGACTTCCCTAACGTAATTTTCGTAATTTATTTCATTATTCGAATAGACTAGAATATTATTAAAGTATATTATTATATATATCAAAATATTATAAAGAATATTATTAATATAGTTCTAAAAGGTCCCTAAGGCTCCTTAGAGGCTAAACAGATAAATAATAAATTTATAGAGGCTAAACCGAATAATAAAAGTAGTAAACCATTTATATCCCTCCTTTATATAAATCTTATTAAATATAGTAATTATATTGAATTTAGTAAAAATCTTTATATAATAAATTGTATTAAGGATTTCCTTAATTAATAATAGAAGGTAATACGATTTTAATATTATATTATTAACGCCGTAGTAATTAATATAAATACGGACGCTGCTACTAGGCTTTTTAATTAAAAAAATAGGAAATACGGCTATAGATTGAGATAGGTAGATAAAATTCTTTTTTAAATTATTATTAATCTACTTTTTAATAATATTAGCTTCTATTAGGGATATATAATATAGCTATATATTAGGAGGAATTGCCCCTAACTATAATTTAATCTTATAATTATATAAATAGTAAGGCGGAATTTCTTTAGTTAAGGAGGGGAAGAACGCTACTATTTCGTTAATATATTGGCAACCCTCTAACTTCCTTAAAAGGGCGATAATCTCGTTTCTTATTTTAATTAGGCGGTCGGCCTTATTAAGGAATTTCTTTATATCTTTATTGGAGATTTTAATTAAATATACCCGCTAGATTATCTCCTCGCAAAATAATACATCCTAATCGAAGTTACTAATTAAATAAATTACCTTAATTAGAACTACTACTTTTTAAAATTCCTCGAATAAATAAATATTAATTAAATTATTAATAAAAAAGTAGAAGAGGGGAGGGAGATTTTCCTTATATTATTAATTATTGCCGGCTATAATATTTATAATTATTTCCTTAATTAAATTTATATCCCGGATTCTAATTATAATAATTAACCTCTCGAATTTAATATAATTCGTAATGTACGGCTATAAATGTTAAAATTCGTAAGCGAAGTTGAAAGTAACCGTATTAAATTCTTTAATATTGTTTAATTTAATAAAAGAAATCCTATTAAAATTATAATAGCGACCGGCGCAGGGGCGCTTCATACCTACAAAGACACGCTAACCGTCTAGATAGATATAGGGGTTATAGTATATTAAGTTCTTAATTTTAATAAGAAGGGCCGCCGTACCTATAATACTAATTTTGGATCCGGCTCTATTAACTATTAATACCTTAATAGGGGGCGAAATAAATTAATAACCGTCCTAGAAAATAAATAAGGTCCCCTCCTTATTCCCTACTATAAAAAACGGCAGCGGCGGCGGCGGTAGTAATTTTACTTAAATAGGGTAAATAGCTCCGCTCCTTAAATTCGCTATTAGTATTTATAATAGTAGCGGCGGCGTTAGTTCTATTCGAATAAAATTAATAATTAGTATCCTCCGGATAGGAGGAGCGGCTTTGCGCTTTGGGGTTAACTAGTAAAATAGAACATTCTTACTACGGACGATTATAATTAAAATTTAATTAATAAGAATTTTTAACGCTATTAATTAATCCCTAGGAAGGTTAATAAGTAAATAACGGCCTCGGTAAACGGGGTTAGTAAAATAAATTCCGTACCGGTTGTAATTAATCTCGGATTTATAATATTATATTTAAAGGAATTTTAAAATTACTAAATAATTCTTTAAAATATTATAAATTAAAAAGGTAATTATTTTACTATAGTATCCAATCTGGAGTTTAATTATTACTCCTTTAGAGATAATACTTTTAATTACCCTATCGGCGAGGATAAGCTTCTTTACCCGGCGGAAGTAAAAACGGGGAAGGTTATATTTAATTACGAAAAAATAATTAATAAAAATGAATATAGAATAGCTAGAATTAATAAGAGTAATACAATAATTTTTATACGATTTAATTATAATATAAAAAAATAAAAATATTGAATTTAGGGAAATAGAACTATTTAACGATTATATTCTAACCTCCTCCAAACCCTTTAACTTTATAAAATTTAAAACCCGTCTCTATAATAACGATAGGGAAGGCTTCTATATATAATTAGGTATAGAAGTTAAATATTTTTTAAATTATTATAATATTTATTACTAGTAGTAGTAGTAGTAGTAAGGGCTACGGTGGGAATAGCGATAATAATATTAGTAGCGAATACAATTCTAGTAATATAAACTTCTTCTCTACTATAGTAACCCTTACTTCTACCTTTCTTCTTCTTACCCTTATTATATTGAAGACTTTAGGAATTATAATTAACCGAGGCGAGGTAATTACGGGCGATATAACTATTATTACTATAATAGCGGTATTTATCCTCGCAGGTGCACTAATTGAGAATATCCTTATAAATAAAGATAGTAAAATCGATAGCGTCGAAGTCTATCTTATTATTACCCTAATTAATAGGAACGTTATTAGTATTATAAGAATTAATATTACCCGTATTAGTATTAGTATTATTAGAGCTATTATTAGCGGGGGCGCTATTACTAAAGATACGGATATTTATTTTATAGTAGTAGTTGGCGTTCTCTAAATTACCTATAATAGTGTGGCAGATTGCGAGCTACTTTTTAAAATTATTAGCCTTAGGAAGGTTGTAATGTGCGAGAACGTCGCGGAGGCGCTTATTAATCTTATTACGTAGGTAATAAACCTTTATAGAGTTATTAAAGCTATAGAAATTTATTAAATTAGTAAGCTCCAATTCGAATTCTATAAAAGATATATTTTTTATAAAGAATTTTTTAAGATAATAGTTAGTATTTATCTTTAAGTTAATATTCTAGAAATAGGTAACTAAATACTTTATAAATTTAATACCGGTCTTCCAACGCTAAAAATCTATATTTCCTCTATTTTAAATAATATTTAAATTATTTTAAATACTAAATAAGATTTCGGGACCTAATAGTATAGTAATACGAATAATCTTAATATCCTTATTAATATAGAGGAGGGGGTTATACTTCTACTAAAATAAAATATAGAAATATTATACTTTAAAAATCTTATATTTATAGGCCGTACTAATATTCTCCTTACCGGTAAAAATCGGCGGGTTTTCTACAATCTACTTCAAAGATAATATTTTACTAGTATTAATATTAGTAGTTTTATTAAAATTATTAAATAGGGACCGGATATTAGTATTATAAGATTTAAAGGCAGTATAATTTATATTAAAATTATTATATTTCTTTTAGAAGTTATTAAATTCAATTATTAAATTAAAATAATCGAAGTTCTTCTAATTAAAATTATTTTAAATTCTAATAACTACTTTATAAATAATTTTTAGTTCGTCCTTATTACGTTTAAGGTCGATGGTAATATTTTTATACTAAGTAAGGTTATTATAGTAAAGGCGACCGAGCGGGGCGATAATTAATTGGAAAGTGGGGTCCCGAATAATAATATTAGCTATATTAAAGTAAGTGCGAAAAATAGTTTTCTTTTCCTCGTTATTACTAATATTAATAAAAAGGTCGTTAATTATTATTGAAGGAAGGAGTTTAATAAATATAGTTTAATAAACGGTAATATTGGTAATATTAACGATTTTATTAAATACTTTATAAATATTATTTAAATTAAATAATATACTTTTAAGAAAGGTATTAAGATTAATAAGATTATTAATATTATTAATAGGAAAGAAAGATGCGTAGTCGCTACTTTCGTTGTAAAATATAAAAAAAGTAATTATATAAAGCGGTTTTTTATCCTTTAAATAAAGAGTACTTACCTTTATTTATTAAATAAAGGGAGTGAGACTATAATTACGACTATTGTAACTTACGACTGTCGGTGTTTGGGGTGCTGGACTCGGCGATTCGATAAGCGAGGCAATTTTTGTATGTACGTTGATTGAGAATTAATAGTATAATGAAAGAAAATAGGTTTACGTTGTAAATATAATAGTTAAAAAGTATAATTAATTATTACGGGTAAAGGGTAGATAATAGATGTGATTATACGTAATTATATGAAGGAGAAAGGAAGAGAAGTGTAGCTGAGTGTTTAGAAGGCTGGCCTTATAAAGGTAACCGGCGGCGGGTTTGATAGACCCGCGGCAGGTAGCGTTCTGATTAATTAGCTGCCGGTAATAGTCGGTTTGCCGGCGGTAATAATAGTGTACGGTAGTCTTAGAAGCTGCTGTACGCTGGCACCAGGCACAAGGTACACAGGCTAACCCTGTGATATGTAATAACGACTAGAAGCGGCTATTATATCTATAAAGAAGATTGTATATTGTTATTTATAAACTTCTACTTATATTTATAGGGATTGGTAGTACCTAAGGTATAAGGCGGGTAATATATAGTATTACGGCTGCTTATATAACCCTTCTACGGTGATGTTAGAATTGTTAATAGTTTTACACATCGTTAAACAAGGGTATAACGGTTAATCTTAATCGATTAAGGGTAATAATAAGGGTTATTACATACCCTTAAAGATATATAAAATAATAAAATTTCTAGTTCAGAGCGACATTTCAGAAGCCTTTTGGGCTCTAAATGAAAAAGACGGATTTTAGAGTAATCTACGGTTTCTAATTGGCTTAGAGTCAATTGTGGAGACGCCCATTTCAGAGCCCCAGTTTTCCAGCAATTTCAGAGCCAGACGATTAAAAGCGCTACCGAACAGCGCTCTTAAATTTCAGGCTCTAAAAAGTTCAGAGCCCCATTTCAGAGTATCCAAACACGCCCCAACTCCACCACTCACTCCTCCCGTTCTCTCCAAACCCACCGGCTCCGTATCCCAGTCGAAAGGTGATTTGAAACCAAAACGTCCGGCGCCCGAGAAAAAGCGATCGCTGTCGAAACGGGACGTAGTGCGCTTCTTCTTTATGTAGTGGAACGTCGACCACCACCACCATTGCGCGCAACCGAAGTGACAAGAAATACACGAAAGTACACAAACAAGCACACGACGACGCGAAACACCACCCCAATACACGCACCCATCATGTCCTCAACATTCACATCCCTCCGTGGCCTCGCCACCCGCCTCTTCGCCGGCGGCGCGCGTCCCTCGCCATCATCCCTCCTCCTCCCCAACAAGCCCGCGACCGCCGCCCTCCCCACCGCGATCCAACACCAACAAACCGCTTCCTACGCGAGCAAGGGCAAAAGCGGCCCCCCAGCCGGCATGTTCTCAGGCCAAAAGGCCGGCAGCAAGAAATCGAAAGGGCCCAAGCAAGTCGACCCGCGTATCATCAACATCCTGCGACACTTTGCCGTCCTCTCGCCCAAGCGGATCCCCCCACCCCTCCGGTTCGGCCGCAACAGGTACCTGCGCCACTGGACGATCCATCGCGCCTGGCTTCTTTTCCGTCGCCAGCAGCGCGAGCAGCGCGAGCGGATCTTGATGCAGCAGCACCAGAGCATGAGCAATGCGTGCGAGGAGCTTCGCAACACAGAGGGTCCCGGAACGAGGGAGACGGGATACCTGTATCGTGTGGCGATGCTGAAGAATGGTGTGTACGGACTGAAGAGTATCCCAATTGAGTATGCTAGTCGGGCGTTGGTGGAGACGCCGGGTAGGCAGGCTTGGAATCATGAGTGGAAGCGGTAAATGGGATGTTTGAGAAGGTGGGGAAGGATAGGGGTCTGAAAAGGATGGAGGGACGGGACGGGCCCGTATTTGTCTGGTGTGGGCATGAGAGATATAACAACCTCTGGGGATGGCAACAAGATGAAATAGTGCCAAAAGGGGGGTTTGGTTGATTGTACGAGTAGGGATAAGCAGGATTTTCCGTGGATTTGCTACGTTTTTTTCTTGCGTCAATTCCCGGTCTTGTTCTGGCCCATGGGTTCTGATCAAGATGTCCGTCCGTCCCCGACTTTGGAACGGAACGAAATGGTGGAATCATCGTGATCCGAGGACGACCGAAACCGCAGAGCGAGATTCTTGTTGGGTCAAGGAATGGGAGTCTTGAGGCACGCAAAGGGTGGTTCTGGAAGGAGGAAAATCAGCGACTGCTATACCCTCCCGGCCAAAGCATGCCGAGAGGGGGACAGCACAGCGAGACCGACCCGTGTGCCTGTTACCGCGTGTATTTGTTTGTGTATAAGATCCGCGCTTTGGGGAAACAAGGCAATACAGGCACGCTGCTACAACTAGAGAATGCCTCTTGATAAGTCTCGACAGCTTTTTGAATGTCTTTCAGGTTTCCTATTTATGCTTCTCCCCACCTGTTCCTGCTCTACAACTTTGAGTATGGCCGTGCTGGCATCCAGCAGCCAAGCCTCGTCCCTGACAAAGTTGTTGAGACACAAATTGGCCTGCCGAATAGTCGCAAGAATCAACCGAGCATGTCATTGTCTATACATGAGACCTTGGGTATAAACACGGATTCAAGCGTCTATGTTGTCTCTGTCAAACCTAGCTTCTAGGCAATTTACGAATTAAAACATCCCTAAAAGACCCTCGGCAATGTGTTTTCGAATTACACGTAATCTCTATTGTAGTTTTGTAACGGCATAGCTTAACTACAACGAGCGGAGAGCGGTCTCAGACTATCCACATCCGTCTTTTTTTTTTTTTTTTTTTTTTTTTTTTTTTTTTTTTTTTTTTTTTTTTTTTTTTTTTTTCCCATGACCGCTCGCTTTAGGTTACCCAGTTGACTGATCGCCCGCCAAGGCTACAGTCAAAGGTCTCGATTACTTTTGTCTCGGACGAGCAAGCCTAAGCAACCTTCCAGTTCAACTTCAGTCCCTCGTCGTCACGCAGTGCTAAATATTGATGTATAAGGAATTTCGAGTTGCATAGAATAGGCATCTAACCAACAATTCTATCTTCTTTGCAACTCATTTTGCTGCGACTGGATCTGCCCGAGTATCAAGAACAACGATTGCCTCCGCCATCTGATAACTTTGTTCCTCTTTCCCATCACCATGTTCTTCTTTCCAGACCTTCTATCAGTGGCCATTCCAGTTCAGTTATTTTGCAGAAATCGGGTTCCATGGGTTGTAAAGATTTGGATAGAAAACCTAAGATGGAATCCCCGTTCATGTCTCGCTCTTCCTTTTTGACACCCAAATAACACAGATTATGCCAAATTTCACCGCAAGCCGCAAAATGAATAATGCTGAAGGTGTGAGATACGAAACCCGGACAGTAAAACATGTGCCAGCCACATTGGGTTGCCCAAAGTCATCCGAACCCGCTGTTTGGTTAGTTAACACGAGAAAGCCGTGACAATCGAAGGAAAGTCTAAAGCCATATTAATACATAAGATATGTCTGAGAAAAAGGCTGGATGAGTTTCTCATGTGCCGCGTCCATTTCTCCTGCCGAAGCATCTGGCTGAGTGAAAATGAAACCCATGTGGATCATTATGGTCATTTTTCGTCCCGACATTCGATGTCCTGAGCAGCGAGGTTGATGTGGAGAGAGTGTGAGGCGAGGTCGAACCTTTCAAGTCGGCTGGCTTCAATGATTTCGGAGAGAACGTGTGCGTCTATCGAGTTACGCAGAGTTTGAGCTGAGGAGCCTTTCAACCAAGTGAGTGTAGATCCCTGCTCTTTTCTTCCCAGCCAAAAGGGAAGTCATCTTTGTGGATTTGATTCCCACTGCCGTTCTCTTTCGAGTTTGAAGCCATACGGAGTTCGAAGCCATATATACCAGTTATCCGCGCCCAGCTCTGCTTATGCTGGTCTCTGCTACAGCAGAGCTGGTTGTCGAATTCCTGCGCGCGATCGTTCGAAAGAAAGGATGGCGAATGGAGAGGATTCATACGGGTCCCCTTATCCCAGGACTCTCATAGAATCACACAGCACCCGCTTCCTTCCTTCTTCTCAAACGTTAGCAGCGCCGCTCGCGTGGCTGCCTCGAATACGTCGTCAACACCTTCTCCGGTAAGACTGGAACATTCGAGGTACTTTCGAGCGCCAATCTCCTTTGCTATCCTCTGGCCTTCGTCCTCCATCACGAATCGTTGGGATCGCTTTCGCATTTCTTCGATGGCAACTGGATCTCCCCTGAGATCCTTCTTGAGACCCACCAAAATGATGGGAACATTGGGACATCTTTCGTTGGCCTCAGTAACCCACTGTGAGAGGTCCTGGTTAGTGGTCTGACTTGATGATTTGCTGAGACAATGTGTCGCTCGAACCACCCACCTTGTGTTTAACGTTGTCCAAAGAATCTGGCGTGTCGACCGAAAACCCTATTAGAATGACATGCGCCTTTGAGTATGCTAGTGGTCGTAATCGCTCATAGTCTTCTTGTCCGGCTGTGTCCCATAGCGCTAGCTGAACCGACTTGCCATCTACTCGGCAGTCGGTAACGTAATTCTCGAACACGGTGGGGATCTATTGAATATTGTTATCGGTTAGCACGACGTGAACATGGACAGCGAGTATTAGGACGAGCGTGTTGGAGGCTGTCCATGTGATATGCTCAAGAGCACAGGAAGCATTGGGCACGGGGACACCGTAGGCCCGTGCCGCCATATGGTTTCACCGGCGGCTTTAACAAGTACTCACATATGTCTGTTCCCGCGCAGATACACGTTAGCCATTGATTCAAAGGTACGGATAACAGGAGGGCATATGCGTATGCGGGATCGGATGCGATAACTTACGGCTGGGAAAAAACCCAAAGTGAAGACGCTCAGTAGACTGGTTTTTCCACAAGCACCGTCGCCGATGATGACGAGTTTCCTATATCATACGGAGGATTAGCGTCTGCAGATTGGCGAGGCAACCAGTTGCTGGTATGTGTCTGTTCTGGAGGCTGGTGCAGCACAACGGCGGGGAAGGGGTTTGGTGTTCCAATTCGGTCACTCGAAGAGCTCTGGGTCGGACTGATTCGGTCCCGTACTTCTCCATCATTTCCCGAATCGCAAAGCCCAAGCAGGACAGGTGCTAGCTTACCTGCGGATGACATTCTGAGGGCTGCCTGATGCCATTTTGGGTAATGGCTGTAAATATCCTGAGCCTTGTGTTTGTCCAAACCAAGCTCACTTCGCCTGAGAGGACCTCGAGCCCCCTGGGTCTCTGCGCTGTCGACGGTGTGTAGTAGACGATGCTCTTGGGTTATTCAATTGCGAATTGCTATCGATGAAGATCTATCGGATATTGCGTTTCGGGATTGAAGTCGTCGCCGTTGCAACTGTACACACAGTTGGGGGTTGGTCGAGAGTATGTCGGGTAGAGAGGTACGAGAAGATGCGTTCGAGGGGCGGTCAACCTGGAGGTACCAGCAGGCTTGCGAGAAGCCAAGCGGCAGACGAGCGATGCAATCGGGAGAGTAGTAGAGCGCGTACGTTGGATTGCGTTGACGGCAGAATTGGACGAATAGGTGGGATAAAGCGAGGAGTAATTAGAGACGAGGAGAGAAAGGTGGAAAAGCTCAGAAAAAAAAAGAAAAAAAAAAAAGTTGATGGTTGGGAGTGAGGATGAATAGGGACAGGACTTGAACTGGAAATGGACCTGGAACTGCAGTGGAAGTGGTAGTTGCGCGCAACAGGCAGCTAGCGGAGCGGTTGGACAGTGACCGCGACCAGCAGTGTCAGGGCAGTGCTCGTTCGTTGGTAACCGGGTGATAAGGTAGGTAGGTTGGTAAGCAGCAGCAGACCGAGGGGAGTACCCGTGCCAGGACTGAAGTGAGGAGTCGGCAACTTGTACGGAACAGGAGAAGTGGAATTGAGCGTAGACTGTGCCTGCCTGGAATCCTGGACTTGGACTTGTGGTGGTGGTTTCGCGGGAAATTTTGAGGGGAAAACGACGGTTGATAGTTGCTGATCAAGGACGGGGGGCGCTTCTCGCTTTGAAGGAGTTCCGCAATTGCATTTGGGATTGATCTGAAAAGGAAACTGCCCCTGCCTTGATGGGATGAATTACGGCGGCTGACATAAACATCCTGGCAGTGAGGCTTCGAAACGCCGGACTCCTAGAGGTAACGGTGTAGGCAAGTGCGTGTGTTGTAGGTACAGTACTACGTACGTAGTACATGGTCCAGGCTCTGGGCTCCACCCGACTCTCTCTCTCACTCTTCAGTGTTCAGTCACTGTTCACGATCCATGTCCCGACCATGGAAGTGCCGACAATCCCAGGACCATATCGATGGACAGATGAACCAAACTGAAAGACACCACAGCCTACGCCTTTTTCTTTACACCCACCCACTACAGCAGCGACGAACACAGTCGAAACTCCAGTTACCGACAGGCTTGTCAAAGCTCGTCTCCGGCCGGCCTGGTTTGCTTCAAGATTGGTGTTGGTCCGATCCCTGTCGCCGCGACGGGGACATTTGGAGACATTTGGAGACACACAAATCCACGATTCCCAGGCACGGTACATCAGATTGTCCAATGTAGCGATGCTTGGTGTGTTGCCGCTACTAACTCTAGCGATCCAGGGCCCCCTGATTGCTGTTCTTGGTTCCCTTTTCCGGATGACAGCGACGGCCCTTCCTAGCAACAAACAGCCAAACTCGGGCAGGATGTGGACCTGTAGGATCTGTCCTGAGTTGTCTGTTGCACCAAGTCCTACCGTCGTCCTACCCTCCTTCACCTCCAGCAACCTCCCACATTAGGACATTTCCCAAGTCTGCGCAGTCTTCTCTGCCTCTCACGAGACTCTCTCATGGTGTGATGAAACGTCACTCTTTTTCCCTTTGCGGGATGCTGGCAAGATACAAAAAAAGAGCGGTCCTACCTCGTGTTGACGGGTGGGCCGCTTCCACTTCTAGCTTGTACTTGCCATCACAGCCATAAACGGTCGCGCGCTGCTCGAATGTCAAGCATGTCAGGGCGCAACGATCGTTTCTGATAGGTTATTGCAGCGCTGAAGCTTGGGCGATACCAAGGCTGTGCACTAATTAACGCTTCGGAAAACGACCCCCCCCCCCCTGAGGCTCGGGGCTGAGGCGATCCGCACGCAAGCCGCTTACTGCCCACTATGTACCCACTCTCTCCGGAGCCCAGCATCGAGAATCCAACGTGAAGGTCCCCAAAACGACATTTCCCGGCACTTTATGGCCAGTCAAGGTTAACTTACTTTCCGGGGTAAGGGAATTTGTCCTTCAGGGTTCCTGGTCAAGTGTTCCCTTCCGGGCAAGAAGTCCGTTCGAAGAGCTCAAGTTTCCAGCCGTGTTTATGCTTCGGTCCCTTTTGCTCACAAGATATCGAATCATGGGTTACGGTAACCAGACAAGATGACGGCCAGCCCGATTGTATGGGTTTACGAGGTAGGAGATACGTTCGATCACTTGCAGCATCTCCAGGCTTGTGCCAGACTGAAAATCCTCACCTCTCTGACATCAGTTTGGAACCATGTCTTGCTTATGATGAGCAAAGCCAATTACCCTCTAGCTCGATCCGCTTCACTCCCAACTCTGCGCCATTTCTGCGTTGAGCATTTCGACATTACCAAACCACAAGACAGAAAGCTTTTCGTCCACATCGTCGTCGCTCTCAAAGATACAGCAAATATTTCAGGGGTAAGTAAACAAACCAAGTAAAATGACCCTAACCCTGGTTCTTGGCAGACATGATGCCACCTTCTGTTTGGCAATGACAGCTTGAACGCGGCCTCATCCCTACCTAACAAAGAAGGTGGCATTTTTTCGGGTACTACATGGGCGATCAGCGGAACTCAAGGTGACGGCTTTTTTGTCATCGGCGAGGCGGCCTGTCGACACGTTTGGGAGGTTCAAGTCACGGCGCCCACGGGCTTTGACTCTTCCCGGGCTGTCATGCGTGGGAAACAGGCACGCCTATGGAAACAAAACCTACTGGTTGTCTAAGACGACTGAAGATGGGATTGAAGGTTCTTGATGGCAGCTTTACGGTACACCAACCCGCAAGAGAGTCATGCTTCGTTGTTAGTGCATCCCGTCTAGCAGCGAATCTGGAAAAGAACACATCTCTCCAAAGGCAACCTGCTGTTCAGTCTGCCAATAAAGATTTTGGGGGATGCGTCGACGTTTGGTTCCTCTGTGTCGCTTCGGAATGGGGCCAAAGATAACGTATAGTGGAAACTGAGATAGAAAGAGCGTCTCATATATGCTTGCATAACAATGTTGCCATTACCAATCCGTTGGCCAAGAGGGCCGTGACTACAGCCGATTTGGCTAGAAACATCATGTACCAGCACTGGATTGTACACGCGAATAATAAATCCAGAAAATGCACCTTGGTGGCCGTCACGAAACCGTTCTACTTGTAAGTAGTTGTGCAACTGCCTCAAGTGGTACGTAGAGGTACAATCTGGAAGTTACAGCTGTCTTATCGATAAGACTGTCGCTTGGCGCAATGAGCGAGTGGAAACGATGAATTCGAGGATCAGAGCGTCCGTCATTTGGCGAGCATCATCCGTCAGGGGCATGATGCTTTGCTGACAGCACGTGATGGTCAGCCTCGCTGTGGCTCACCAATGAAAATCTGTGGGGTTCGTTCTTCAGTCTCTCTCGCTGTGTGGAGTTTTGAGGCTACCCGACCCAACTTCGAAGGCAAAGACGCGACGTAGCAAGGAAGCGGCATCTGAAAACATCCGAACAGCACACTGGAGCAGTGGCCGAAGGAGCCACATTCGCGCTGTGAGGGGAAGGTGGAAGGCTTGCCGACCCTGCCCGCTCTGCTCGCCCAATCCACTTCATGCATCATTTCAGTTGCCGGTGCCGCGTTCCACTTCAGTTCCAATCGCATCGTCTCCACGGCAGGCCTGGTAGCTGCTCGTTGCTTGCTGTTCTACCTTTCAACCCGCTGCCTTCTATCTCCTCCAGTCTCCAGCTTGTTCATGATCTTGACAGACGCGGCTGTTCTTCTTTCCCCTGGCACCCAGACTAGAGGTACCCTATCGTGACGCCCTGCCGGGTCTTTTTTTATTCAAAAGCGCGCCTTCTACTCGTTGTAGCGGGCTGCCCTTTCGTTAATTAATCCCGTTACCTCTCTTACGTGAGTTTCGCCTGGTCCCCAAGTCGCTGATCTTTCAGATCGCATTTTACTACCTACCCATGCACCATTTGCACCAATCTGTGCTCCCTCTTTCCCACCATCGACATCACTCGCGAGTCTCCCTTTCCGCCTTTCCCGGCCAAGATAGCGACAGCGAGGTACATCATCATCGCTACTCAAGCTAGCGGTGGTACATCAACCCCTCCCAGCCGCCTAGTCACACCAACCAGTTCTCTCTGCCTCGAGCTCAAACCAGGACTCGCTTTTACATTCCATTCTTTTCCAACCACCACGACAGTGACAACGCCAAACCGCCGTTGCTCTATTCCCGCGAGCTACGTGCTTGGCTTCACGTCTTCATACACTGCATATTATCCCACTCGGTCATCTCGTTGCCCACCCGATTATCCGATCTGCGGCGCCGTAGCCCAACCGCCTCACATCTCTCTCAGCTTGGAGCTTACTTTGTCCTCAATTTTAGTTCTCGGCCGGACCCTTGCCCCTCCGATACCGTCGCACGGAATCGCATGTGCCCGATCCTCGAATCTGCTCGCGTCGTTCATTCTTGATACCAGAGTCAAACCATGAAGGGCAACAGTCGTCACCCTTCGGTGCCACCGCCGCCCTTGGCCCCGCAGTCGCCCACCTCCAAGGCCACGGCAAAATACACAAACAAAGATGGGTCCAAGTTCATTACGGTTCCCAAGGGGTCAACCCCAGCCGACTCGGCCCAGCCGTCCCCGACGATCACCACCGCTGCGAATGCTGCTCCCGGTCCACAATCGGCATCTACCTCGCATACACAAGGTCATGGGTTAGGTCAGGCGGAGGGACAGGTGCAACCTGTCAATAAGAAAAAAGCAAAGCGGCGTCAAAAGGCTGCGGCAAAGGCGGCTGCCACGCAAGGCATAGCTAACCCAGCACCCTCGAATGGCTTTCCGAGCCCTTCTCCGTCGCACGCGCAGCAATCTACAGAGGCCGATCACGACGACAGCCACGATGAGCATCTGGAAGAGTTCAATGATCGCAGAGATTCGCGGGCATCGAATATCCACGAGAATGGCTTTGCGCAAGGGGCGACTACAAGTTCTAAAAAGTCCAAGAAAAAGAAGAAAAAGAGCCATGCTGGTCAAAATGCGGCTGAACTGCCAAACAGTCCTCAACATGACACCTATGTCCCTGCGCCCCAATTGTCCCAACATCCGCGCCCGGGCATATCAAAGGAAAAGATTTGGAACACTAGCTCTCAGGAGGAGAGGGAGCGGATCAAAGAATTCTGGCTGGGGTTGAGCGAGACAGAACGCAAGGAGCTGGTTAGGGTCGAGAAGGATGCTGTGCTCAAGAAGATGAAGGAGCAGCAGAAGCACACATGCAGTTGCACTGTGTGTGGGAGGAAGCGGACGGCCATCGAAGAGGAGCTGGAGGGCCTTTACGATGCTTACTACGAGGAATTGGAACAGTACGCAAACCATCCCAATCAGGGCGAAGCGCCTCCGATGTTGGGGCGACGCCCGTCGTTCGGCTCCATGACAGGTATGCGCCCGCGTGGCCTCCCGACAAGCTATTCAAGTCACCATCAGCCCTCACATGCGCAAATCGTCGACCATGGTGCCGAAGAAGATGACGAGGAGGAAGAGGTTGAGGAAGAGTACAGCGAGGATGAGCAGGACGAGGATGACTATAGTGATGATGAGCCTTCAGAAGAACTGCACCGATCCGACTACCCGGCAGACTTTTTTAATTTCGGAAATAGCCTGACTGTGCAGGGTAGGGACAGATTCCCCATTCTTCCGTCTTTTCTACAGAGTATTCCCTCTCCGGGAACTAGCAATAACGCTTATGGCTCATCTTCTTTAGGCGGGATCCTAACCGTTGCCGACGACCTGCTGAAGAATGACGGCAAAAAGTTCATCGAAATGATGGAGCAACTCGCCGAGCGACGCATGGCTCGCGAGGAGGATGCGAGGGACCAGTTCGGTAGCCCCTTTTCTCACTCCACCGGCGACCGCAATGCCCATTATCACCCCCCGGCCGATGATGAGGTAGACGACGAAGAATACGACGAGGATTACGATGATGACGAGGAGGAAGAGTACGACAGTCAAGATGAAGAGGTATGGGTTCTACGTGTTGCACCGTTTGGGGGAGTGTTAAGTCATTAATCTGTTATTTAGGAAACCATGACCGAGGAGCAGCGTATGGAAGAAGGCCGCCGGATGTTTCAGATTTTTGCCGCCAGGATGTTCGAGCAGCGGGTACTTACTGCGTACCGTGAAAAGGTCGCTAGGGAACGGCAAAACATGCTGCTCGAGGAACTAGCCGACGAGAAAAGACGAAGCGAAGAACGCCTGGTCAAAAAGCAGAAGGAAGCCCAAAAGAAGAAGGAACGGCAGGCGAGGAAAAAAGAGCTTCAGGCTGAAGAGAAGGCACGCCGTGAAGAGGAAAAGATGGCTGAGGAGAAAGCGAAGAAAGCCGAGGAGGACCGGCAAAAAGAACAGAGAAGGCAAAGAGAAGAGGAAAAGAGGAAACAGAAAGAGGCTCAAAAGAAGGCGGAGGAAGAGGAACGAAGGCGTAAGGAAGCTGAACGCCAACGACGCAATCATGAGCGGGAGGAGAACGAGCGCAAAGCGCGAGAGCTCAGAGAGCGGGAGAAGAAAGCACGCGAAGAAGCGCGTCTCAAAGAGAAGGAGGCCCGTGAACAAAAGGAACGTGAGGCAAGGGAACAAAAGGAGCGGCAGGAGCGCGAGAAGAGGGAAAGGGAGGCCAAAGCCAAGGCGGAGATGGAGGCCGCGAAGGCGGCCAAGGATAAGTCTAAGCAGGACGACCGAGCAGCGCAGAAGGCTGCGGCTCTCGCAACCACCGCGCCTGTGCCCATCACTCTGCCCAAGAGGCCTGCTCAGCCGATCCAAACTTCTGTGCCGGCTGCAGTACCAGCCTTACCTCAACAACCTGCAGCATATGCCTCGCCTGTCATTCCCGTCGCCACCCCAGCGTTTCCAAAGGTGCCAGCCCCGGCTCAGAGTCGTCAAGTACACCAGCAAGAGAGTGTCACAACTTCTTCAGGACCAACATCTCAGCCGGGATCAGCCGCTAGCCAAAATCCTTCTCCGCACACATTAACACCAGTACTTACAAGTCCTGGTCCCATAAAACCACACAGCAAGTCCGGGGTTGCTGTGAGCGGGACACAAAGCAGTGGGGTACATTTACCGTCCCCCGCCCCTTCAACGACCGTCAACGCGGGTTCCAAACCACTTCAATCCCAGGCAAATCCCTTTGGCGGCCCCTCGATGAACATGCCATTCCAACCAACTCCTCAGCCCCCGCCTGGTTTCAGCAACCACATGCAACCCAAATATCCTCCTTTCTACAACCCTGCCAACAGTTATAACAGAGTGGCACCGGGGATGATGGCGGCGCCACCGGGTTTTTCTGCGCCATTAGGCGGGCGGGCAATGTCGATGCATTCACCTGGATTCCCCGGGCCCCTGGATTCACCAGTGTCAAGCTTTGCCGGCTTGCCAGCTGGATTGAGCTCACTGCTAGGCAAAGATAACGTGCCGTCTCACACTCGTCAGGGTTCCGGTAGCTTCGAAATCGGGCCTGTCGGCTCTTCAAGTCAGCCCATCAGCCGGCCGACGCCCATAGGAAGACCGGCCAGCGTGGTCCATGGCCAGCGACGATCACCCGAGTTCTCGACTAACGGAACCGATCAGGCGGAACAAGAAGTACATCTCGGAAGCAGTGCACTGCTCGAGCCTGATGACACTCAGCAGGATTTTCCTGCCCGGTCTCATTTTGGTCTGCTTGGGACGTCTGCGCCCGGGGTTCGATCTGCTCCTGGATTTGGTGGGGGGCCGTTTGGGATGGAAACCGGTTTTTCACTGCCACACCAGAACAGCCCGTGGAATCCGGTACCTCCACTTCAACACAACCCATTCGTGCCACCGCCTCCGGGGTTCCCGTCATCGTCACATCACGGACCATGGAGCCAGGCGGCACCGCCAGGAATCATGGGCCGAACTCCATCCATCGTGGAGCGTAGTGCCCCGTGGTCTGTGACACTTCGCAAGTCGCTCTGTGCTGTATGCGAAGATCTCGGTGCTGGCGGTAGTTCGAGTTACGATGGGTTCATCCCGTTGGGGGAAATCATGGCCCATATGAAGCAGTTTACAGTGAACGAAAAAGAAGTTCTTGATATATGCGATACGGAAGGAAACCCATCCAATGGCGGGGGGAGTTTCATTGTGCGGGACCCATTGTCGCCAAGTGGAAGCCCGCTCATTCGTTATGTTCCGGACGATGACGCTTCACGAGCTCCATACGGCCCTATCAAACATCCCGGCGATATCGGCAGCCCGATCGTCGGTTCAGGTTCATTTAATGTCGGATCATAGGAAGATAAAACATCGCATTCGGCCGGGCAAGGAGAGCCACGGCAGCCGCGCGGGATAACAGGCACTGATCAGAGTGCAATTCGCCAGACATATTTGCAAAGAACTCGGGATGCGCAAGGGCGAACACAGACGAAGCCGGATGCTGAATAAGTGCAAAACTATTTAGGGTCTTTGAGGGACAATATAGACCAACGCAGTACAGGCACGAGTCTAGGCTCCGATCCAGCACGCCTATACAACCAGTCCGATGGTGATCAATCTTGGCGCCGATTATCGCGTTCGGAATCGGTTGCACGAGCCGGGTTTTCAGCTAGTCCCCAATTTGGTAACAGTAGGGAACCCTCGTCGCGAACCATTACGCCTGTGGTTCAAGGACAGAACAATCGAAACCATGTTTTTTTTTGGCAGAAATCAGAGCCGCTCGCCGTCTTCTACTTCCCAAATCGCTAGCGGCTGGCAGTCACAATCCAGCACAGCTGTGGCTCAAGGTCCGGATAGCCCAGATAGTTTTGCGTTTGGCAGAAATCCGGGCCGATCTTCCTCGGTATCAACTACGCCTGTGGCGCAGAGGCAGGACAATCCAGATGCTTTCCTGTTTGGTAGAACACGTACAGCTGTTGGGTAAGGAAATCCAGGTGATAGTTCGTTTAGCCGTAGCGCAAGCAATCAGCAAGGCCAACGGAAGAACCCGGAACGAACAACGTGGGCGTGGTGATGAGGGCCGATGGGAAGAAGGCTTTGACTTGACTGTGTATGGGTACGGGTGTAGGTGAATCAGCCGCCGTATATGGATGGGTAATGAGGGTTATGAAGGCCGGCTAGTGTTGGACGGCTTGTAAGCAACATATGCATTTGAAGTAAGCACTATCTCTCTTTCGTTGTCGGTTTTCCAAGGAAGGAAGCGAAGTATTCATCAGACAACAACAATGATGCGAGGGGAGAACGGGCATGTTCTTCTTGTCCTCGGTACTGGCTTGTTATTAAAGGAGGAGAACGCCGATGAGGCTCATACCCAATGTTCTCCCGTGGTTGTCGTTTGTATCTTTCTTTTTTTTTTTTTTTTTTTTTTTTGTTCAGCAGCATATTGAACATGGAAGCGAAATGGTAGCTACTTAGGCAGGCTGTCTACTGTACAATTCAAAGCAAGGAGATATTTGCTGGCTCTCGAAACGTTGAAGCTCGATACACTTCTTCCATGTTTGTGGTATGCCAGTGTTCAGGTTGGTGGTGGATGGTCCGGCTCAGCCACTCCTTTGTGTGCTGCTTGATACGATGATTCGCTCCCCTTTCCCGTTGTGTCCCCAGTGGCGCTGGCTGATTGGGCAAGGATTGAATAAGTCCAGACTGTTCGTTCGTGGAGCCGTTCATATTCAGAAATTCTGGCCGTCCTTGATCACAAAAATCCATCTTTTTACTCATGCCCAAGGTCATTCTGATCATGAACCCCCGATGATGGATATCAACACTGTGAGCAAGAATAGTACTTAGTTGGTGAATACTGGAAGAAACGGAAAGCTGAAAACGGAGCAAAAGGCTAGGCAAAACTGAGCTCAAAAGGGGACCATGTGGATTCACGCTGTTCTTCTGATTGGACGACGCATCTGAGACCGTGCAGTGCTCCCCATGTGGGGACCTTCAGCAGTCGTATGCCAAGCCTCTTTTCAATCTCGCTGGGAGCAAAGGCGAGAAGGGAGAGAGAGAGGGATCCCTGTCCAAACCCCCAAATCCGAGTTTGACAGGATCATTACTGTCCTATGTATAGACAAGCAGCCGAGTATCGTTGCTGAGATAGTGCGAGAACCGTACGGGCGGATGGGCGGTAAAGAGCCTTGAGGTTGTCGGATGCGCGAGGATGCCATCGTGAAAGTGTGTTTGTTGGTGGTGTTTGAGGCTACATATCAACAGGGGCTGATTTTACCTGGGGGTTGTGGTCCTATCGAGCGGTATGTATTGGGAATACCGATGCCCACTGGGGAGATCGCTGTCAAGCAATGTTTGGTCCTTTCGGGGTCTCTGGGTCCCGTCATCGAGTCGAGAACCGGGGGGCAAGGGGAGGGGGGAAAAAAGGAGCGAAAAGGAGGCGGTCGCTCTGGAATTGCAGGGGTTCGTTCGCTCAAACATGTTCGAGCTGACTGGGCTTTTTCCATTTCTCAGACACACGCCGCCGTCTGCTACCATTTCTCTCCTGCTTCCATTCCTGATCCACCATCATCAATACCGTATCCTTTTCGACTCATCTTAGGAGGGGAGAGACGGCGACAGCTTCACTTTGTTGTGTCGTTGTTGACAGTCTTCAGCATCTATCTCCACTGATCCCTACGACATTCCCGTCCTGCCTGCAACGTGCCGATCGATCCCTGGGCCAACGGGCATCACCCCCCAAACACCTGCAAAACCTGGGACGACGAACCACCAGTCAGCCCTTCCGATCTCCAAAAACTCGTCAACCCGCACAGCCAGCCTACTGGGATCACCAAACCTCGTGTGTTTCGGGCGCACAACCAAACAATCACCAGATTCATTCAGGAACAGGAAAGCCGACCTGAAGATCCCGCCTTCAGCTTACCGCCACTGCCATTCGAGAGCACTTGGAAGCAATCAAGCTACCTACGGCTCGATCCGACCCGACCGACGACCGCCCGTCCGCCTGCCAAGTCGAGTACCAGCCTGTGACGGGAACAAGAAGGAAAATGGCGGCAACAACAAAACACTCGTCCCTCGCCGCCTTGGCTTCCCTCTCCCTCCTTCTCTTCTCCCCGGTTTTTGCCTCGGCCCAGCAAGTTCCCGGTCTAGAATGCCTGCACTTGCGCAGCCACGAGCTGGCTGTCATGGCCGCCTGCGGTGATGAGGGCGCTCTCAACCACTACTTCTCCACCTTCCCCACCACCATGTCGTCTGGCGACCCCGATTATCTCAAGACCCTGACGAAATGCTACATCGATTCTGGCTGCAACGAGGAGGAAACCCCCGCGCAGATCGCCGACGCCGCCAAGCGCTGCTCCGGAGGGCCCGCCGCCCACCCCCATCATCAGCTGGGCTCTCGCTCCGAGAAGGGTGCCTTCTACAACCACCGCCTGCGCATTCCCGTTGTTCCCGCCAAGCCAGCGTCCATCGCCGTCGCCCGCGCCGCCGTCACTGATGCGCCCGTCGTCGAGCCCGATGTCGCCCTCATGAAGACCAAGATCACCGCCCCAGCCATCCTGCCCCGCGCCGATGAGACGACCGAAACCCGTGCCGTCGCCGGCACCGAGCGGCCCTCGTCGCCCTTGATCTGCCTGACCAAGTCCGACAAGTCGATCCAGTCGTGCCCGACCCAATCCACCGGCACCGCCTCGGGCAAGTTGCTGCCTTGCTTTGAGACCTCGGTGCCCGTCGACGTGTGCGTCGAGGGCCTGATCTGCCAAAACGCGAGCGGCCAGGGCATCAGCTGCATGTACAAGCAGTCCGGTCTCGAAACGGCCGGCATCGTCATGGCCATCTACTTTGCCGCCACCATCGGTTTGGCTGTCTGCGGCCTGTGCTTCTTCTGCTGCCGCGAGCGCCGCACCATGAAGAAGCTCGAGCGCGCGGCCGAGGCGGCCAAGATTGCGAAGGAGGCCAAGTCTAGCGCCATGGCCGCTAAGAAGCGCACCTCTACCGCCCCCGCCCTCGACCAGCATCAGCAGGAACAGGAGCACATGTTGGAGCAGCCGCTGATGGGCGGCAACGGGGGTTACATGGGTGGTGGTGGATATCAGGGTGTCCCCCTGAACAACGAGTATGATGATGTCCCGGCCCCGCCGCCGCATATGGCCGATACGGGATATGGTGGTGCGGCGGGAGTTAGGGGTGGGTCGGGTAGCGGAAGCCCGACGGGCGGAGCGCCCAACCCGTTCTCGGATCATAATGAGGGACACCCTGCCTTGAGGTGATCAGTCCATTTGGAGGTTGTGAGAGTTTCAGTGTTGGGGTTGTTGGATGAAAGCAAATGTTTTGGTCATCTACTGCTGGGGCAGTCAGGCTGCTGTGATTGGTCTACTGTTGGAACCTCGTGTTCGAATGGACGAAGAGGGGGTGGTTGATTGGAAGACAAAGGTGCTTTTTTTGCAAAGTCTCGCTGTTGGCGGCGACTGGGTACAGGTAGTGAATGTGTTGCATTGTCTGGTGTAGGTATCAATGGATAAAGAACGAATGGACGGGAGAAGGGGGTTGTGGCGTTCTTACAGGTCCGGCGGACTTTCGATTTTCCATCTCAAGGAAGCGCCGCCACTGAGCGGAAGCATGGGCTGCTGTCTCGTGGAAAATATCATTCGTCACTTTAGCATGCTTAACCCTTCATGATCCTGAAAAGCTTGGTGTTGCAGTTCTCGAGCCATTTGCTTCGTCATGGGCACATTGGAGCGTGAACGTGTTCTGGTGATCCGGCGTATCTGATCGGCGCAAGTAACGGTAGTTTGGGTACTGTATCTGGTAGTCGTGGATGATTCGATTCTCGCATCATTTCCACCAACGGAAATGCCGGTGAAGAACCTCCATCGATGCATGCATGGACTGCAGAGTGCGTTGCATCTATCTTCTTTACCGCTCTCAAAGTGCATGCTTTTGTACTTGGGGTCTACATAGCCACGCCGCCGGTCCCGTCGTCGTTGCCTCAGGCATAGAAACGGTAGCATAAACACTGTTATAATACATGGCTTATGATGCGCCGGAGCTACACAACCCGTGGCAGCCAACCCGACTGTGTAAGTTAATTGGAAGCTGGGAAGACAAGTTCCTGAAAATGAAACACCAGCTGTACTTCAATCATTCGTTGGTGTTCCGAGCATTGGGATGCAGTGCATATACGGGGGACCAAAAATATGCGGGATCAACAGTGCACCTGTAGCCCATTTGGTAACGAAGAAGAATACCCTGACAAAACATACAGATATTCGACGTGAAGCGCTATATATTGCATTTCGAAATACATTATTTATAACAAGGATTGGACCTTTGTTTGGCGAGATATCGACGAGTGTCTATGGGGTTGCTGTGGGTGATGAATGCATACACTGCTTGCGCTCCCGCCGCCCCCGAGTCTGGAAGAAAGAATGGAGAGGACGATGATACCACCCATAACAACAGTTCATGGTCCGCACATTCATTTTGATACAAGATCCCGTCCTCAACTAAGCAAGCGTAAAGGAAGCCGGCCCCGTATATACACTAGCCCCGCTCGCACCCTGCCAGTCCGAAAACGGACCAAAGTAATTCAAATTGACCGTGTTGCCCACGACATGCGTATCGCTCAGCAGCACGCGCACCTGGTTGACGGCGCTGACGACGTTGAAGCGGAGCACGAGCTTGGGGTCGGTGGACGTCCACGCGCCGCTGTTGGTGGGCAAGGTGGTGCCGGGCGTGGAGTGCGTGAAGGTTGCGAGGGCGTTTTCCGGGTTGACGTTGATGGTGGCGCGGTAGCTTGGTTGGTGTTGAGGTGTTAGTGGGGTGTTTGTTGGATGGGAGGAAGGGTATGTGGGAAAGGGGGAGAGGAATGGGGGAGGGAAAACATACTTGATATGGGTTGCGTTGCGAGTGGCAGAGAAGCCGGTGACTGTGGCCGAAGTGGCATGCTGGGCTAAGGATGGAGCCGCGCTGGCGATGAGAGCGGCGAGGCCAGCGAGAGTAGTGGTGAATTTCATTGTGATACTGGGGTTATATTCGTGGTGTTTTTGATCTGGTTGTTCTCTTGGTTTCCTCGATAATTTGATAGCAGGGAGGTGCTAAATAATTGGATAGTCTGTCCTTGTCAAGCATGGAAAGGCCGGCTACTTATACTTTTTCTTCTGCAAATTCCTTCCTCGTATCCTACTTTACCTGGAGTTCTTGTTCTCGACAGCACTGGATTTGATTACGCTATTAATGTTCTAGATGCCGTCACAGTTGTGGTTCTCGACTTAAACCTCTCCAATACCATGTTAAAGACGCTCAAAATGTCCAATACGTACGTAATTAAATGATATATCTTCTCATGTGAATCGCTCTTGTGTGATGAAGTAGTTCATCATATCACGAAAAGTATTGGACATTAATTCCAGGTTACCAAATTCTCGAGTGTCTGGTTGAGTACAATGATTCGACGCCTCCTGGGATCATGATGCTTATTCTAGCATAATGAGTCCGTATGCGGCGAACAGCCCTGTGAGGTATCGTCTTTCTAAGAATTTCCCATTCCGACTACGCCTCTCAAAGACGACGCTCGCGATATCTTACCAAGGTTAGTAATATATGAGTAATTCAAACCACAGAGTTAAATGGTGTATACCTACCTTCCTTTCTCATTAAGCTTTGTCTTTTTGAGGGTCTGGAAAGATGGCAGTGAGAGGCGTGCATGAAATTCGCCAAGAGAGTTCCGTTGGATAAGTGATATTCTGATGTCTTCTCCAGAAAAGTTAGTTGTTGCATCGATGCTGTCTCGTCCCCACTAAATGATTTTTCGTTCGATATTCTCTGGATTGGTTGCACAGCGTTCCCACGAGAACACTCAATGGATTAAAAGGGGAGTCAAGAAATCGTCGTCGTCGCAAGTCTACCCCGGTCTCTTCAAAGTTTGGTACTCAGTAGACATTAGACTACCCCAGACCACGCTACGACACTCTGGGATTGAGATGTCCGAAGAGGCTGAAGCTCGGATTCTGCCTTCTCACCTAGATTGTGGGGTTGCCCCCAAGTTGTGCATACGAACACAAACAGAAAACGTTGTTCTAGACTTTTCCTAATTCTTCAGAATGCATCGTGCCCTCACCACACACGAAAAAAAATGTCCGGTGGTGAATGGTGACGGAGCTCCTAGTGTCCCAGAATCCTGCGAGAATGTCTGTCTCTCAGCCGTTAAGACAATATTTGCCGCTATGGTACTTGGCGGGTATGAATGTGCCCTTGTTGAAGCTTTCGTGGAGTTCTGACACATCATTTCAGTTGGTCTATTTGGTGAGACCTGAGGTACTCGAGTTATATATCCGGTTTTGGCAAGTTCCTTGTCCATGCAACCGAGTATTTTAGGGCTCCATTTATAATAACAATGATATAGTTCACGCTGACTGTGTATCTAGCTAGTCGCCCCCCTATGGGCACGTAGTCCTTCTTCAGTCAAGGCCGGGAGGAAAAACCCTATTTCCCGGATAGAAAACCTCCAGCTTCGTTATCGCCGCACCTCAAATACTAGCGCGGTCCTACTCATCCGGTCCGTCCTGCACACCTGCCCTCACCGGCATACTGTCTCTTACGAAGAAGAACCCATTTACTCGCACCACTAACGAAGGTCACCGCTAACTCGACGCATTTTTATTTTGGGATTGCCCTTCCGTATCCTTTCTCCGTGAGGTTGGGAGCTCTGGGTAGGTCTCTCCTTCCAAGTATAAGAAGGCGGTCTCCTCCCTCCTCCCTCCCTCTTTCCTCCTCTCTCCTCCTTTCTCCGTTCTTGTTGCCGCCGATATTTTTACCAATCTACTCACAGCTTGCAACACCCACCATGTCTGCCGCCGAGGCTTCCAGCCCTACCCGCGGCAATTCCGACGCTGCAGTCGACGCTGGAACTACCTTTAGGCCCCATTAACTTCGAACGTTATCGGCTGCGACGAGACGAGAATCATGAATTCTTCGAATTTAGCGTACAATTATGTTAGCTAAGTCTTCCATTCCATTCTGATTAGGGCAAGAAAAATAATAATCCGAGGATTGCATTGACTGATAGGGAAGGCAGGGAGGATCTTCTTTGTTACTGCATTGTGTAAGACTTGTTGCGTGAAGAAAAGAACAACTGCCGGTCAATTGGCGATCTCCTAACGACTGGAAATTGGAAACAAGCATGGGTGGGAAGGATGTCGAAAATAAGAGGACTCGAGTGTACCACGTGAGTCTTGTGGCTAGCAACGAAAGATGCTCGGGTAATAACATGCATCAAAGTTATGCATCGGACGAAGACCACCGCACAAAGAAATAAATGCTTTGTAGACTAGTACCGTGTAAACTCGACTATCCCCTGTGAGCGCCGGACATCTGGCAGAAATCTGCCAGAATTATGCTCTGTGATCACGCATATGCCAGCCAACGTGACTATCCATATCCAGTGAATGAAAACACGAGGATATTTCCTATTTTCTTGACTTGGGCACATTTGAGTATACAGCGGCTGGCCTTTTTTCTGTTAGCTCCCTGCACAAATCTGCCCTTTGTCCGGCGCCCAAGGAGGGATAGTGTTTGGCCAGTTTCGCGAGTCTATATGGTAGGTAGCTAAAAATGCGTGGTTATATGCAGGGGCAGACATGAAGTTATTAGGTATATAGAGGTAGGAGCTCCTGAACCTCAAGGTATTCCTTGAAGGAAAATAAAGTTGGAAAAAGAAGAAAAGGAATGACAAGCAAGAAAGCCAGCAAGCTGGAGGAACATGGATTAGATTTGAACAGCGGTAGGCACGATTTATCCAGTACAATGACTGCCAAAAACGTTGCATCGGACCTAGAATATCTAGAGAACTGCATATATACCTACATGCAGAAGTGACTGGTGCAATATACCTGACCCAGTTACCCGGCACATTTCCTTCCACGACTATACAACACTCGCGCCTTCCTTTTTTTTCTATTTTTTATTTTGCGTTCTGTTCACTAGATAAATCTAATGTTCCCCTGTGTCCCACAGTCCTAAAATCTTGAACAACATTCCTAAACGGAGCTCATCTGTCCTCAAATCTTGAACAACGTTCCTAAACGGAACTCATCTGTCCTGTCACTCATCTGTCACTTCAAACCTACAAACCTTGCTGAACAACCTTTCTACCCCAGGGACTGCTGGTTTTCCAAGCTTAAAAGGCAATTCCCATCGCACCCGAAAAACCATCTCTTGTTTCATCCATCATCCAAACTTGGGATTCGACCAAAAACTTTACTGCCAGACGAAAAGGCATTAACCATCGACAACCCCCCCTCCCACTCAGACAAATCAGGAACACCCATCGACTCCTGGCCACCGACCACCGACCAGCAACTAGCAAGCGTCATCCATTCCCTTTGCTATCAACATCGAAGGGTCGACATCACATTCTGAGCCAACGTCGTTCGTTAGCAAGTCGTCGTGTTCACAACCCGATCACCTCAAACCGTCAAATTCTCGACGCGACCGATCATCAGACCTCGGCAAAAGTGCCAATCGACTACCTACCAGTGACTAGACCACGCGCACGACAGGAAAGAAGTCGTCAGTAAAGGCAACCATGCCTTCTAAGAAACAAAGGCAGCATCACTGGTAAGTCCGACCCCGAGCGAGTTCGCGCAGTTGCCCCGCCTGCTGCGAAGTCCACAACGCTTCGTACTTCTTGACTGTTGAATCCAGACTGCTAACCAAACACCGCTGAAAATGCACAGCCCGGTGTGTACGCGCGTGGGCAATGTACGCTGCCTCAAGAAGCAGCACTGGCGCCCATGCGAGATTCACGGCAAAAGCGGCCATCATGGAGATTTTTCGGTCTGCGTGAAGTGTGACGGAAGTGAGAAGCGCGCAGAGAAGGCAGAACGGATTGAACGTCAGAAGGAGAGAGAGGAGCAGGAGAGACTCCGAAAGGAAGAAGCCGAACGGAAGAAACGCGAGGAGGACGAGGCGAAGCGGGCCGAGAAGGAGAAGGTTCGCCAGGAGAAGCATCTAAAGCATGAAAGTAAAGATGCGAAGAAGGAGGACGAAAGTTGAAATGTTGCGAGCAGGAAGGGGCATATGGGATGACGCAGAAGAGGAGGAGGGGCAGAGAAGGCTTCTGGCAGAGATGGACTCTGAAGTTCAATCAAGCAAGCAAGCAAGCCAAGACACAGCGTGGAAGGGAGGAAATAGGAAGAGAGGTGGTGATGGTCTTCGATTGTCGTTCACGCAACTCTCCGGCACTTTTCTGCAATGAAGTCACCACCACAACACCCATACGTTAAGATCAATAAACAAGATCCACCCAAAAACAAAACGCAAAGTCCCCAAAACTGAACCTATTGTGAAACGTGAATATGACTGTAGTTTCTCAAACGTGAATATGACTGTAGTTTTTCAAAAGAGAATCCCCCCTTCCCCCCTGTGAACATGTATGTACACCTATCCATCCATCCGGCCCACACCTAGTCGAAGTTCTTCAACATAGGTTCCAGAATGTTTGTTCGAAAGGCCCTAAGAGATATCTCATCCGCTGTTTGGAAGAAAAAAAAAAAAAAAAAAAAAAAAAAAAAAAAAAAAAAAAAAAAAAAAAAAAAAAAAAGAAGAAGAAGAAGAAGAAGAAGAAGAAGAAGAAGAAGAAGAAGAAGAAGAAAAACCTTATGAGAAAAATGGTAATGATACGATGCGGGAGCAACTGAAAACCTTGTATTGTATGGTGTGCGCACTGTTCCTGGTGTTGCGGCTCATTTTTGAAGTCATGGTTGGATAGATCGCTAATCCAAGTACTCCTATATGTCCAGTATACTTGTCGCCTCCCATTTACCAGGTAGTAAGGGCAAGTGACTCGATTCGTCCTTTGCATCCGCATATCTGGTTGACCACAGATTCAGGTAATTTACCTCCGGTGAAGTCAATTGCCGATGATGCCGAGTCGGAAGGGGAGGTGAATAGGTGGTGACGCATAGCCTCTCCCGCGCTGCAACAGTCATGAGTCCATTACCAGGTTCGGACGAGTTCCTGACTTGGGCACTATGGCTTCGGAATCTTGATAAGCAGAGATTGAAAAGGCTAGATTACGCTCCTGGGCTGATGGCGATATAGTGTCAATCGATTCGCTGACGGGACATTTTTCCAGAACCAGGACCGTTGTTGGAGTTTGAAGTGCTCTCATCGCTGGGGGCTGTCGTTCCGGGGAGATAAAGACTAAAAAGTGATCATGCAGTGCGCTTGCAATCGTGAGACCCAAACTGACATCCTTTATGCAATGCTGTGACGATAACTTCAATAAGAGTGAGACAAGTCAAGGATTACAAGACTCGGGAGGATAAGGTGGGAACATCGGGGGACTGCTAAGAAACACAAGACAAAGAAAAACTGGTATACAGCCGAGGTGCATTAGTCAAGTCAAGACAAAGCGCTTGCTCTTTCCTGACCTCAGTAATGGTATCGACTATTGATGATTGATCAGCTCCCCGAAGTGTAGCAAACACGGCCACCATGGCCTTGAAATCCACTTACGCACTAACAGCAAAACAGACCAGACGGGAAACAGAGCATAAAATACATAGACCCGGGAGAAAAGACAAACCCTTCACCTAATCAAATGTCAACTGTATTAACTCAAGAAAACCATGCTGCTTCTTATGCCCGGCTCCAAAAACGCTTTGTAGGTGGTGGGAAACCCCCTTCCTCCCCACATTCAACATTTTTTCTGTTCTCCATCGCAAACACCCTCCATGTATTATTTAATCCAGCGCCATCCTCCAAAGACCATCACCAAGGAAATGCGCCTCCTCGATCACCGGGCCCTTGCCCTTCTCCTTGATCTCCTTAGTCCCCGCAACCAGCACTCCAACGGCGCAAGCCTCCTCCTTGCCCTCAGCCAGGACGACAACAGGCTCGCCCTTCTCCAGCTCGCGACTCCAGTGTCCTTCCTCATCAGCGCCCTCATTGGGCACCTCGATCTCGTCGTTCTCGGCCTCGGCAGCGCTCTTCTCCCTCGGCGGCCTCTCATGCGGCTGCGGCAGGCGCCCGCCCTTGCTCGTCAGGCCGGGGGCCATCAGGGTGGCGCCACTCAAAACGAAGCGGATGGCGCCGCGGTCTATCCTGATGGTGGGGAAGCATTGCGGGAAGCGGTGGACGAGCTTGAGGTGGGGCACAATGGTGTTTTGTTGCGAGGGCGTGTCGGCCTGGAAGAAGAGCGGGGTGGTTCCGTCAATGACGTACAGCGACACGCGGTCGGGAAGCTTGATCTGCTCGAGCGAGGCCTTCTTAGGGATGATGTCGTCGATGTGAGGGGTCAGGAGCGGGTAGGTGGTCAGCAGCGACTGGCGCAGGTTGCGCTGGATCGAGGATTTGAGCTTCTGTTTGGGTGAGGGGGTAATGCTGTTTGGAGAGAAGAGTTAGCGGATGTTGGAGAGGTGGTGTAAGTAGAGTGACGGTGGTAAGGGAATATGGCAAACGAGGGCAGGTGAAGCTATGTTTAGAGCGGTGGATGACATACTCCTTCTTGAACATTGTGGCGGTATTTGCGACTTTGCGACCTTGTAAAATTATATGTTTTTATCTGTATGTGTGGAATTCTTGGTCGTCGTTTTGGCGAGTCTCGATGTAAGGACCGTCAAGCTGGGATATGTGTGTTGCTAAGTGAGGTGAACAATGGAAACAAAGTGAAGTGCTCCTCGCTGGAATCAATGGAGCTGGCGACAGGCGACGGTCGCGACGGCCAAGGCGATTCATGGCGGGGGAGGGGAAGAAGTTGAAGGTGGGGCCTCGACCTCGATCTGCCAAGACCGCCCTGCTGGGATCTGTGCAGCAGTCAACAGCCGCGCCAAAGCAGCCGGCGACCAGGGTGTGTCGTCATAGCGCAGCCGATAGAGGGGACGGTCGACGGCGATAAGGACATGGATACAAAGGGTCTCCGGGGCAACGGCCTCTATCGTCAGCCGTCAAGGTACTCACAGTAAGTCATGGCAGGATGATACTTTATATGAATTCGTCGCATTCGTTAAACACAGCGCCATGCTGCTATCTCCATAACTCATTAACTCGCTCGCTTCACAACTCCAGGTCATGCCATCATATCCTCAAGCCTGGTATAGCCATTCCATCACCGCTCTTTGTTCCCCCTTAACCGTGGACAACGTGGCTGACCTTCCCATCCTCGCCGACATGTACGTTGAGACGGTCAGGGTTAAAGTCTTTCGTGACCATCGAACCCGGCTCGATGATGCGGGTTGGCTTTGGGAGATCGGACTTGCAGAAGGTCTGTAGGCCGAAGAGAAAAGGAAGAGGGTCAGCTTCCATGCTTGGACGCCATCTCTGTCTTGCCATTCTCAACCAGGGGATGTTCTTACAGTCTCCGAAGTGTGGTCAGCGAGTGTCTTGCCGCACAACTTGTTCATCCACTCCTCCGTCTTCTGGACCGCGGGGTCGTTGGTGGTAACGCCGGGGACAACGAGAGGCATTTTGTCGGATATGCGTAGTGTCAAAGTTGATCAAGTTCTTGTTTTGTTTTGAAGTATTGTCTTGTATTTTTCCAAGCTTTCTTAGCGTGCAGGTGTCTTGGGTATAACGAGAGATGTTGATGTTGTTTTTGTTGTGGTTCCTTATATAGAGACCCGACACTTGAACTTCCCCTCAGTGTGCTGGAAGCCAAGGTGATGACGTAGCAACCTGAAACTCATCGCTAAGCCACATTCGTCACGGGGACAAAATGGGCTGTGGTGTGAAGCTGTGAGGCTTAGTTGGTGTGTCTGATCAGAACTAACAACTGAAACTGAACAGAACAAATTGAACTTGGGTCCGTCCTGCGCTCACAGACTCTCGTTGAAATTGGCTCCAGCAACACGCGTCAACCCGAAACGTACACTATCGTTCGACAAATTTTCGATCGGGTTCTTATATAATCTCGCGTACTGGTAGGTCAAGGTCAGGAGAAAGAGTTCAGCGTCTTAGTGGACAAGGTTCTTTTCTCGAGCCCGCCGTCAACAACCCATGCTGTTCCCCCCGCTTCAAACATATGCCGATGTACATTGGTGCAAGAAACCAATGTGCTACCACAGCGAAAGCAAAAAGATGTCCATGCTGAGAAAAAAAAAAAAAAAAAAAAAAAAAAACATACAACACCTGGGATTCGCTGGTCATCACCGACCCAACTACTAGTCAGGCCTCTAGGTTGACAGACTGAACTTGGTACAGTAACGTCTACATGCAGTACAGCTCCTCGAGGTCCAAATAAGGACATCATGAAGACGGGTGGCGCCACTTGGTGTTCCCTTTATGAAGGAACTGTATGGCTTAGCAGCTGGAAAGACACCCACCAATGGTATCCCAAATCTCGAAGTAGTATGGGTTTGGCCATAGACCCCAATTACCAGCCTGTCCCATTCCAGGTCCTTCAACTCCACCTTCAACGTTGAGCTCGGTTGAAGAGGTTAAAAGGGAGCTAGCGATGGCGACGTTGGGTTGAGTTGGAATGAAGCTTGATCCTTGAGCTGTAGAAACTTAATACTACTCTTCCTGGAAAAGGAGGGTAACACAGCTTAGTTAATACTACGACTCAATATCTTGGGCCGTGCTAGACAGTTTTCCTGTTTAACGAGTGACGAGGAAGGTGAGGGAAACAAAGCTCTTCAACTTCCATTAGCCGTTCACTAGACTCGGGGTCGACAACCCAGGTACAAGCTGCTACGCCCTTGCCCATTGACAGCTCCTCAGCCTCTTTCTGCGCAGACTCGGGCGTTATCAACCCGGCATACATAAATCCCTGCGTCGTCTCCCACCATTCAGCGACAGGGCACTGCAGGCATTGTCACTGCACTGCACTCCGCGTCCACTGTTTGCAAAGCAACGAAGCACGTGCTCTTTGTTCTTCCCGTCTTCAGCCTCTCATCATGTCAACCCATGCGCTCTATCTGTCACGCGTAAGGGCGTGCAATGCCTTAAGCCACAACACCATGCAAAAGATAGATGGATGTTCTGTTCGCTAGACAGAGATGCGAGTAACAGACGATAGGCTTGATCTGCCCAGTTCCTCAGGCGTGCACTTAAATCAAGGGAAACAAAGTACAAAGTCGGGCTTGTGAATAGGGCACGTGCATACTTTCAGTGGAGTTGGAGGCTGCCGGCTTCTGATCCTAGAGCTGTGGTTGCCTTGTCGCTCTCAACGCCGCCGTCACCCTATTTCGCAGCCCTGGCATGCAGCTCTCTCAGCCAATCGACTGGTACTGCGGCAGTGTGTTGCAAGCCAACCACCATGGTTATGATATGCCAGGATAGAATGAAGGGAAGTGGTGGGCTAATGCAGGCAGATGAAGAAGGTAGGTTAAGGCAGGTACGTGAAGGAGGTCCATCGTGATCAGTTTGTCGTAGTGGATCACCAAACCGTGATCCAACAAGACAAGAGCGAGAGATTCCCTTGTGCCACGCTCTCATCAGACTCGGCGACCAACTGAATACACATAACTGGGCTGAGGTAGTAGTGTAAGAACCACTCAGCAATGGTCTTCTGACCGAGTGCAATTAGCGCCAGCTCCCCACTCACCGTAATGCCTCCGTCCGAACGATATGAATATGGGAGGTGGTTGTTCAGTTTTTTGACCCTACCACATGATTAAAAGACCCGTTTCCTGTCCTTCCCGCTCCCATAGATAAGCAGAAATATTGAGTTCTCAATTACCTCTCGCCGAGTCCCAGCGGAGTTATCAAGTGCTACGAGCTCCCATATCCTCTACCCGGTCTACTTAAACTGTCTCTCCCTTATTATCTTCTTACTAATTCTCCTGATGACCTCCCTAAGCACAGACCATTAATTAATCTCTTTACTTCCATCTTTGCATAATGATGTGTATGACAGCTTCTATTACCAGAATCATTGCTGCGCTCGCTATCACCATCCAAGGTTCTGCCATACCCAGCAAATCAGGATGGTGGGATCATGATTGTCATATCCCGCCATCAGCCTCCTGGCCAGCGGCGACAGTTCCAACAGTACGACTTAGTTGCAACAAGGTTTTCTTCACCAGCATCCTGCCACCTGAAGCAAGCCTCGAGAACATCACGGCCGTTCCAGAGGGCGGTAGCTATGGCGAAGGAAAGGCAAATATTCCGTATCCGACTAATCCAACGAACCTTCCTGTACTATGTGCCGTAACGATCAAAGTAAGAAGTTCGCCATCGAGTGAGGTGTCAGATGACCCGACCCTATACCCAAAGCTTCCTGACCTAGTGGTCCGTATATTTACATAGAAAATTGGTCCGACCTACCAAAATAAAAAATTAACACAATTACTACAAAACGTATTCGTATAGAATCACTTCAACAGCAATATTAAGTAAGATTATTTCTCCTTTAATACCGGAATGGTATCGCTGGCGTCATCACATGTCAGATCACCTGACTGGGTGACCCAGCCGCTCAGTCGGGTTCAATTGAACGAACCGCTCCCACGGGGACCCGCCCATATAGGTCATGTAGATTAGATAAGGCTTGCGTGCCTCTCTAAGGTCAACCGACCGCACGCAAGCTTCCTGCTCGGGATTCTTCCTGCGGCATCACTTTACACATATTCAATCAAACACATATTATTATCACAACGTTCAAATACCCTCTCAACAGTATTAAATAGTAACTGCAACTTTAATTACTTAACTTAAACCACACCATACTATTATCGCCGACCAGCCTTATTCAAGAAGGCACTAAACAACGTCGCATCGAACAACAGAAGATCGCTTCTCTCTTCCAACAAAGACAAGAAGCATCTAAAAGTACATAAAACGAACTTAAGTACTCTTACAACCACATAACCACCTTTCCGATTCAAAAAGAAAGCGTCCTATTCATTCAATCAACGCAATCTTCCTCTCTCTATAATGAACTTAGGTACCCGTAGAGAATCACTTCGACCACACAACGAACTTAGGTAATCGTATAATTATTCTACACTCCTCCACCCTATACAGCGAACTTAGGTAACCGTATATCACTACCTAGATTCTAACGTCGTAAGACCTAAATACTAAAGGTTTCCCCCACTACCGAACTTAGGTACGTAGTAATATCCATTCCATTTTGATTCCTATTTACATACCTTCTATACTCTTAATACCAATCATTATCGTAAGATCATACCTAAACTCATACTCATTCAACATACTTTAGCCAACATACCCAGCTCGTTCATCGAATCCAACGACCCAAAGCTAAACTCTCGAAACATCCTCCCTACTTCCGAGGTCGGGTCCAGCCCCCTAAACCCTCGGCGACTCCATAATCACAATAGTCTAACGGATACGTCGGACATCTAAAACAAATATATTTATAATATTAATACTAATATCGAACATATTAAGAGCGAAGCTAACCTCTACCACCCCGACTATAATAAATCCTATATAACGACAACCACTAAGCCCCGCGGTAAACCCTTACTAATAAACATTCATACCCCGCCTATCGCAAATCCTCGTCGCAAAGTTCAATATCTATCAATAAGTCATCTTCAATACGAGATAACCCTTAATTGCAATTCAACCTCAGCCGGACTATTAGGACACCTATGTTAAGCTACGTAAATAAGGACCGATCGCGAACGTAACTCTAGAACTATAAATCTTCCTCGCAATAATCCGGACAAGGCCCTCCCAACGAAGCCGGCTAAATTCAACAACAATAAGAAATCGATTAAATATCTCAATACTAAACTCGATAGACAAATTAATACCCTATTCGACTAAATCACCTTACAATCAGTTAATATCTAGGACTCCTTAGATAAAGACCGCAAAAGGATTAAGAACCTACTAGTTGGGTAATTATCTAAAATCGGCGATATATTAGTTAAATAGTCGAAGAACATTAGGGAAATGATCGATTAAGCGGATAAAGAGAACGAAGCATTGAACGATTTATAGCGCCGCGAGATTAGCGGTGACTTTCAAACGGCTCTAAACGAGCAAATCGATACTTAGAAGAAACATTTAGAAGTTATATTAAACAATACTATCAAAAAACTAGCTAACTAGTAAAAGGAGACGGCTAAGATTATTATAAACAACATTACTAGACAAGTCAACAGAGTCCGGACCGAAGTAACAAAAGAAATCCGTAAAGAAGTATTAAAAGGATTATCTAATAATCCTTATACTCCTCCTAGCCCTATTCGGGTTTGGCTAAAGGAGAATTACAATCCTTCAACCCTAATTAAACCGTCAGCTAAAATAAGCACCTACGAAGCTAATAATATTTTTAACACACCCTTTAAAACTACGATATATACCCAACTAGCCAAGATAATCGCGGAAGACAAAGCAAAAAAGGGCAAGATTTAAACCTTCCAAACCTCTATAGAAAGCATATTTGAGGAAGCCCCTTACAAGGTATTGTTTCTAACTAACCCTTTCCGAAATCACGCCTTATTTACTAGAACTAGGCAGAACATTAACGAAATCATCAAACCAAAAATAATCTCTACCCTATTTAAGATAAGGGCGACTATTAATTTAACCCGGATTTAATCCGCACCCCCTCAAATCACTAACCCGCCTACGGTCCAACTCAACCTTAAAGGAACATCAGCGCTACCCCCCACCAAAGCCTAGACGTTATATTAATTTCAAAGACCCAACACCAATTCCTAAACCCCTTTTATAGGTTCCCCCTCCAAACCTATCGTCATTTTAAAAAATATTCCGCCTAAATAGATATTAAATAATACTAATACTAATTATAGCAACGATAGCCCACCTTACCCCAGAGACGACGGAGGAGAACCGCCGAACTTACTAAACTCCCCGCGTAGCAATAATAGAGGCAGCAACAGTCGTTTACCCTATATTCCGATCGGAAGCCGACTATACCTATATCCAAATAGAGGCGGACCCCCAAATTCCCTAAGAGGAGGAGGAGGCAGCCTACCGAGCAATAATAGCGACCGATATCGAGGATTCAGCTACAATAACGATAATGAAAATTTTGAAAAAATTAAATAGGAAGACATTGGAAGCTTCGACCTTAACGGATATAACCCCAAGGACTAAAGTGTCGTCAATGATAGTAAGTACACTATATACACCGACGTCTATGCTTTTTACAAACAAATACTATCCTTTATTACCGACGCTAAGTAAAGGTACCCAATAAACAAAATGAACAAACAACTCACACATTTATTTTATACCTGTTTGGCGGGTACAACGTATATTTAGTAGATAATAAAAATAGATAGCGGCACTAAACTCGATTGGAAAGGGAAAAGCATCTACGAATTATTAGATCGCTTAATTTTACACTTTTTACCAAACTCCGCCACAGCCACCGCAAAATTTACAAGAGGCTATTTCTACTTCCGTAATATTATTAACAACTATAACGCCCTTACTTACTATATCCAAAAGTAAATATACTATACTAAAACAATAGGTACTCTTACTAAGGATAATACCAACTAGTATAGAGTAATAATACAAATTTAGTCAAATATAAACCTCCGAATAAAGCAATACTTAAAAGCCCCGGTCAAAAAGGAATCTCTAACCAACTATATACAATTAATTGCCATATCCCGAACGGTACTCACAGCCACAACCAAACAAAAATCTAATTCCAACCGTAGGAACTCCAATAACCAATCTAACTTCGACTCCCGTAACCGCAACCGGAACCAAAATCGCAACCGCAACCGAAACTAAGATCGCAACCGGAACTAAAACTATTACTACAACCAAAACTAAGAACGCAACCGCGATCAAAGTCAAGACCATACCCGCAACCGCAACTAGAATCATACCCATAACCATAGCCGCGACCGCGATAATTATTACAATAGGACCGTAAATTATTAGGACTAATATTACAATCGAAGCCGAAACTACAACCTCGCCTACAATAGAAGATCCTATAACCACGCCCATTACGCAAGGGAAAGCAAGATTAACGAAGATTCAAACTCTAATAACAACTCCATAGAGGACATAACGGCGCATTTAGTACTAGAATCTACAAAGAAGTGTCGTAAGTACTCTAAATATTTCAAAATAAAGGAGCGTAAAACCCAACACTAGGACCGCTATAAATCGCCGCCTACGGCCAAAACTGAGAAATTTAAGACCCTATCCCCCCTAACACCCGAACAAAGAACATACGGATATTGCAAAGAGCAATATAAATCGCACAATACTCTATTCAAACATCTCAAAAAGTACAAACTAGCTGTAAAAGGAAGGTTAAAAGGGGAGGCCCCAACTCCTATTCCCCAAATCACGCCAACCCCTATTAAAACCACAGCCCCCATTAAAGTTCGCGAAGCCTATATAATAACGACTACTACTAATATTAATAATAGTCCTATCTCCAGCTACACCCACATAAGGGTTAATACTAGGGCAGCCCCGAATAGCGGCCCTATGGAAATATACATAAATCCCGGCACCAGCAGAACCCTAATCAGAAAGAAATTCCTTAAAACTCTGGAACACACTATTAAAACGCACAACACTAGAGTGAAAAGCATTAGAAGAAAATCAGTACGCATCTCTGAATAGGCTACATTCAAAATCTACTTCGAAGGCTTCGATAAAAATAGTAACCCTACCTTAATAAAATTTACAAAAGGAGCATAGGTAATCGAAAACCTCGAACCGAATATTCTTTTTAATAATAACTTCCTACACTCATACACCGCCAACACTAATTATAAGTCCGAGACTATCACATTCCAAAACCTCAACAACTTCTAAGTCGATTTTATAGCGCAAATCAACTTAAAGCCATGCCTCCGCAGGGTCACAACAGTTAAAAAGACTACTATTATGCCTGGACAATCTAGATATATTCCTGTCTATTACAAACCGCTACCTAAAGGTCGGAGCTTCATAATAAACTCAAAGTATACGGCAGCCGCCAACGCGGTAGTAAATTCAAAATCTCCATCTATAATATTCGTCAACAATACCACGGACAGAGTACTAGTAATCCCAAAACAGTTTCACATAAGTAGTATTACTAAAACTGCCGACAGCAGTTACTTAGCCCTTTCAAAGGGGATAATCATAGACTTAACAGCTATAAAACGCGCAAAAACCTCACTCAATCGTAAGTTTAAAGTTCTAATCGTTAAAACATTCAATATAATAGAAGAGGAAGTCCAACACAGAATCGAACCCCCACTCCCAGGCATAATCAACCCACCGGGCAAGTACAATTATATTAACAATATATCGGACAAAGAAATTATAGTAAAACTCAAAGCCGAATTTAAAAATAAAGATATTACGTACAAAGTCACCAAATACAAAAATAGTACTAGTTATACGACTATACTACTAC